GTGAAGGAACCACGAAAATCTCCTGTCCCCTCCCCCCCCAAAAAACCATGGAGATCTGGTGCAAATTCCAAGAATCACCAAACTGTGGATCCAAAAGACCTTATTAAGGTTTTCAATCTCTGGCCTTTCTTAAGACTCTCATTTTGTTTGTTTCTATGAATAGCTAAAGAAAAGATTAGAAAATGTAAATGGAAAATAAAAAAATCTGGGCGAATGTGAGCTGATCTTCAGTTTCTGGTGCTTATTTGTTGTTTGATTGTTTGTTTGGTACTGGAGTTGGAATTCAGGGGCTCTTGTTTGCCAGGCATGAGCACCACTACTCAGCTATGCCTCCTCTGGCTTTATCTTTTTTTGTATTTCAATTTTTTATGTTTTTTTATTGGAAAAATACTGTACAGAGAGGTTACAGTTACACGAGTAAGGTAATGAGTACATTTTCTATCCAGCATTGTTACCTCCTCCTTTGTTTTTCCCCTACTATCTCTTTCCTCCCCATCTCCCCAACTCCCCCCCCCAAGTTGTAAAGTTCGTTTTCAACATAGTGTCTTGTACATCTCATTGCTACAATGGTTCAACTTGTATCCTTATTTAAGCATTTTGTTATTTCCCTTCCCCTCCCCAAATTAGAAAAATGTACATACAAGATGCAGGGCACCAGAATCAAATTTTAACCCATATGATTTAGTCTTGCTTTGCCTCCTAGGAAGGGGTCTACCTATGTTTTCCATCATCCTCATCATCCTCTTGTGCTGCATGGTTGTTTTCACTATGGCTTATATCTTACTCTGCCGGAAGACATCCCAACAAGGTGAGTGAGGACTATGGCTGGTTGGCTTTTGATCATATTCTTTCTGGTGGCTTATTTGCCTACTCTCTGTATGAAGCACTGTGTAACGTGCATCAGTAAGTTCAAAGCCAAGTTTTAAAGCTCAGGCAGGCAGAAATTCTTACCAAAAAATTAGAGAAGTGGGGGCTTGGAACATAGCTTAGTGGTAGAATGCTTGCCTATCATGGATGAAGCTCTAGGCTCAACTCCTTAGTACCACATTAACAGAAAAGGCCAGAAGTGGCGCTGTGGCCCAAGTGATAGAGTACTAGCCTTGAACAAAAGAATCTTAAGGACAGTGCCCAGGCTCTGATTTCAAGCCCCAGCACTGGCAGGAAAAAAAACAATTGAAGAAGTTGATGGAAAAATCCTTGGTGCCCAGTTAAGTACAGCTATTCTTGTAATTAAATGCCTTAAAAGGATATACGACACGTTCCTTTTAAGTTGCTTAACATTTATAAAGAGGGTTCAAGGTTAAAGCATGGAGTTGATAAATAACAGGGTAAAGCAGTAAATATTATGGACTCATCTAAGAGTGATGATAAAGACCTGTAATCCTAGCATTCTGAAGGCTGATTCAGGAGGATTGAGAGTCTCAGGACAGCTTGGGCTATGATGTAAAAAACTACTATCTCAAACACAACAAAAACCCCACAAAATCAAAACCTGAAGGAGCCAAGCAATATTAAAGGGAGCCCAAGGAGAAGAGAATTAGACTACACAATTAAAAGATCTTTCAGGATAGAAAATTGGTACCAGGCCATAAAAGATGAAAACAATTTATGATGGGCCAGCCTTCAAAGATAGGGTAACTAGACAAACAAAAGTATAAAAATATAAAAGGTAGTGCTCGCTTCAGCAGCACATATACTAAAATTGGAATAATACAGAGAGGATTAGCATGGCCCCTGCGCAAGGATGACACGCAAATTCGTGAAGCATTCTGTATTTTTCAGTGTACACTGCAAAAAAAAATTATAAAAGGTAATTGCGTATCAAGTAATCAATTAAAATATATAGATAATCAATAGATTATCTATTGCCTTTTTAGATTAACATTCTTATTGGCAGGTATTATTGTTCAAAGGGACTTCATAGTGATATTTCTATATATGTATATAATTTACTTTTATCTATCACCCCCTCTATTACTCTACAAAAATTCATTTCTAATTATGGAAGACTTTTAATGACAGCCAGAAGAACTTAGACTTTCTTTAGTAGACCTTGCAAAGGCACTAAAAGTTACCCCAATTTTAGTAGGGGTGATGAAACTACTGTCAGTCTTGTGGCTTCCCTTGTTTACTTATTTTGTGACTAATATACACATTTCTGAGTTGCTCCTTTGAAGGATTATAAACACTTAGAGAAAAGTACCAAGCAATATCCATCTTTGAGCCTAAGCTTGGGACACTTCTCCTACACAGACACGAGGGGGCAATGATGATCTATTTCAGAACCTTCCTTGGCTCAGGGGTAGAAGTGAATGTACTTGGGGGTGGCATGGGCCAAGGTCCTTGACATTAGATGAATCCAGCCCTTTCTTCCTGGATATTGGCCTGACAGTCAAGTTTCCTACAGGGATTCTCTGAGGATCATGGGTGAGATTCCTGGGTGGAAAGTAGGTCCAGTTCCAATGTTCTCTGCTCACCCACACCAATCAACAACTCCAATCCAATATCTTGAGTCATTGATGACAAAGAGGAGAGTAACCATGCATGGATCCTCTTCATTTCTCTGATAAATATGCAGTGTTCCAACTTATCGCATAAGTATTGTAAAAATCCAAGTATCTCCCAGTATTGGAAAGCTAAAACATTCAGCATCACTCTCTGTGCCCTTTTGACTGGTATCCAGGATTCATTGCCCATAGAAATTTCTGACTTGAATCCTTCTTCTTTTCTAGAGCACGTCTATGAAGTGACCAGGTAAGATAATCTCTCTCCTTTCCCATGTTATGATCCTTTTCCTGACCTCAATTCTCTTGATCATTGGTAGGAAACATGAAAAAACTGGGGAGGAGGGATAAGCATAGAGCATAGAACTAAAGTAGTCCTAAAAATCCAGAGACCCTCAGGATCAGTACAGCTTTCTACTCTCTCTGAGATTCCTGAGGTTCTATCCTGGCTCAATGAGCACAATAGATTATTTAGAGGTACCAGCCCTCTACTCCCTGAATATCTGACAACAAAGTTAGTTGGTAAGGACTTACTTAAGCAGAAGTGTGGGAAAACACAGTCTAAGGCTCAAATCTCTTCTCATGACGGGCTCTGGGTTATAGGATGCATCCCAGGGAGGCCAGTGACCCTGAAGAAACCATGAGAGTGTCCGTCTACACAACTGGCTGCTCCAGCAACGAGCCATATTCCCAGGCTCTGAGTAATGAGTATTCTGATGATCCCTGCCTGGGCCATGACTGCCGGATCATTGCCCAGATCAACGGTGACTATGCCCGCCTACTGCACACAGTACCACCAGATTATGAAGTGCTGGCCACTCAAGGCAAGAACGTCTGCTAAAAATTTCCCACAAGGTCAAGATTTGCTGGCATAATTGCCCTGTTCAGGTCTTTCCTTCTGTATATAGCCTCTCTGCTACCTCTTTTCCTGGATCATTCAGTGTCTATCCTGCTGATGCTGTAGTCCTTGAATGGGACTGGCTCTGCCTATGAAATTTTGGTATGCACGGCAAGCAAGCCAACTGGACTCTTCTTGTGTCACTTCCTGATGTATTACTGCTCCTTTTCAAACACCAGAGAATGGCCCATGGTACTAGAGCTTGGTCAGAATGCCTCCAGTGCTATTAGAAGACCAGAGAAGGTTCAGTTCTACCAGCTCAAAGGATCAACATCATTTCCCATTTTCCAGGGCCTGGCAACTTTTAAGTGATGTCATGTTGTCACAGGCTGGGGTTCAGATTTGCTGCCACATAATGAGTCTTTTGCTCTGGTATTCTTTTGGTGCTCAATAAATATCTAATCATGATGGCAACCTCAGTTGTTAGTCTTTTCTCAGGGTTTGGTAGCACCTACCAAGAGTGCTGAAAATAGGACTAGTTAAGATTGATGGGATTCCTGGAGGTATGGATCGCACCTTTGGGGCATTTTTTTGTTTTGTCTTGTTTTGTTTTTTTCTCCTTCCCAAACCCTATGACACCCATAATTCATACCACCCAATAAATATTTGCTTAAATGTTTATTAGCTTCCATTCCCTTCCCTATTATCCTGTCGTCTCCATCTGGATGGCTTCCCAAGACAATTTGTAGTCTGACAAAGAAGGATCCCTCCTACCCATATTCAGGGACTCAGATGTAGAGAAGAGATTCCTCCATTTTGACAATATGTATGTATGCACCATTTCTAAGGATTCTATTTCTTTGCATCATACAATCTTTGGGATAGTTGTATTCTTTGTAAATTTATCCCCTGACTCTTCTTACAATGTGGAATGGGGCAAAAGCAACAGTCTTTTCCTTGATGAGCCAAGATGAGGGTTAGGAATGTGTGTGTGTGTGTGTGTGTGTGTGTGTGTGTGTGTGTGTGTGTGTACACAATTATACACCTTTAAAACAAGCTACCAGAATAGATCTGTTCATATATGAGTTTATACACACTTCCTTTCTCTCATGTAATCTATTTCTTTTCTTTTCATGGGAATTGTCATGTTGCCACTTTGAGTCCCAGTACAGTGACAGGTTGGAAGGAGATGCTTCCCTATCGTATCCCTATTGGGATACAAATGTAAACAGAGTAGCCTCTACTTTACCACCACTCAACCTCATCCTTTCCCTCATCCATGAATGCTACATTCACAACTTCTTTCTCACTGTTCTTACAAGCCTCTGAAATAGGACCCCACTCAGTGGGAACTTCAGCTTCCTTCATAAAACAGCTCTGTGACTAGATCCCACAGCCTTTGAAAACCTTCATCATCTTTCTCTACTAGAATCCTAAAAAAAGAAAGAATCCCTATGGTTGAACAGTGAATCTTAGTGAAATGAGTCAAAAATTGAGAGAACCTCATCCATAGGAACTATGAGTCCCCAGGGATTTCTCAAAATCTTTCATCTTATGATCCTAACCCTTTCATATTATGGATGAGGAAACAGTGGCTTGTTTACAAAACTGAACATTTCAAGTCATTGGTAGAATGGAGATCAAAAACAAGGCTTAGGAACTTTTAGGCATATTTATTCATCACAACAAGAACTTTCTGGAGATTTTCTTTGCTTCCAAACTTGTTTTCAATATAGAATAAATCAGAAAGTGATTCCTGAGTACAGAAGTAGACCTAGTTTCCAGGATAGTATAAAATCAATGAGAATATTGCCATAGGACCTGTCTTTGGATGCTAGCTGACCAGGGGAATGTAGAGGAGTGAAAAGAGGGGAGGATTTCCAGAAGACAGGGACAGTTAGAAATTTCTCTAGGGAATTTTTTTTAAATTTTATTATCTTTTAGTTGTACAAAGGGGTTTCAATTCAACATGTCAGCGTATGAGTACAATGCATCTTGATCAATGTCACCCATCCATTGTTCTCCTCCATCTTTCCAAACCTCACCCATCCTCTCAAGTTACTTGGTTCAATTTTCATATATATATATATATATTGAATATTATTATGATATTCACCCACCATTCCTCTTTCCATTTCTGTCCCTGGTCCCCTTGATCTCTCCTCAACAAAACAAGTTTCAGGCTCCTGCTATTCATTTTTTAAACTGTAAATTAGTTATTCAAAGGAGTTACATCATTGGAATTCTCCTGTACATATACCAAATGTTTGTGTATATATACATACATATAACCCTGTATATGTTTTCATATATTCTTATAATTTAGATCCAACTTCCACAGAAAGAAAACATGCCTTTTTCTCCCTTAGCCTGACTTACTTCACTTATTTTTTTAGGTCCAGGGCAATTTTTGAAATTTTGTTCCATGTAATATTTGAGATAGCCAATGGAAAAATCTCCATAGTCAGAGAAGTATACAAACTACTTCACTCTACTTCCATCCTAGAGATAAGGAATATAATATTAGAATGTTAAAGTCTCTGAAGAATTCTGCAATAAAGTACCTGTGTAACTTTGACCAAGTGATCCCAAAATTTATTTGCTCTCTGAGCTCATTTTTGGCCTCCTCTTTTAACCCTTGGGTTTATTTCTCAGGAAGCAAAAACCCTCCATGTTTGCTGATGTTCTGTCCACTCTATATGAGGTTCACAGAGTGATTTCTTTTCTCCCACAAAATCCCAGGTGACATTTGGTACCTAAACTCAATGCTAATGGACTAATTGACTAATGAAGTCAATCAGTAAAACATTTATTGAGTATCATAGTTAAAATGCTAGGCAACTGTAGTGGAAGTATTCATCAAGGAAATAGTCATGTGTTCTAGAAGCTCACAATGCAGTTAAGATCTCAAGAATATTCCCTGAGAAAACTCACTAGCAATCCAAAAGGTTATTTTGACTGGTAGGAGACATATGGGCACATACTAAGACCCAGATAAATAGTATTTTGTACATGATAAAGGAAAAAGTATAGGTTTATTTGGGAATGTGCCCAGAGGGACTGGACACTGACAAGGCCTAGACATATAGGGACAAATTGGACAGGCAAAAAAATAGAGAATGTGACCCAGGGAGAAAAACAAGAGGAAAAGGAGGAAGGCAATAATGAAAGTATGCCTTGCTTTCTCACATAAGTCATAATACTTGTATGAGAATCCTGGGGTCCTGGCTATGAGAAGGGGGATATGAAGAAAGAAAAGAATGAGTAAACAAGCACTTCCCTCCCTTTATCTCCTATGCCATGAAGAGCTTGTGTACTCTTTAGCATTCTCATGATGTTTGCAGACATATCTCATAGTAGTTGCCCCCAGAGCTGTGTCACTTTTCCCCCGTATTCTAAGATACAATGCTTTAGTTCCCTCAAAGTCATAGAAAATAACAGGAGAGCTCGGTGTTTGGAAAGCATTCTTTTATGTAGTCGACAATTTATTCATTGTGTCCATCTGCCCTGGCCTGGAGCTGCTAGGCAGGTGCCGCACTTGGGGTATTTGACAAACTGACACTCTACCACATGGAGTGTCCAACTCAGCTTGTCAAATACACGGAGCGTGGCACTGCTGGAAGCCAGACCAGGGGCTTCCTTGGGACAGTGAGATCGTCTTGGAAGATGTGGCCCTGGAAAAAGAGAGAGAGAGAGTAGTGATGAAATTACACTCAGATTCTCCAGAACCTTTGGAGGCTGAAGGGACCCACCTAAAGAGCAGCATAGACAAATAAGCAAAATAAGGCATACAGCTCAGCCAGAGGAAAGATTATAAGTACCCATAGCATCTCATGAGTCTCCATCTTCAATGGGGCCCTGTAATAGGACAATTTGGTGATCACCCTGCCTTCCTGTCTTGAAGAAAGGACCAACCCCATAGCTCTTGCTCTACTTTCTTATCTTCCAATTTTCTCAAGTTGTTTTCTTACAAATGTCAAGGTTAGACTGCATTCTAACACAGGCTTGAACCCTTACTCTGCCATTAAACTAGTTGAATGACTTGGATAAATTATTTCACCTTCATGAACTCTAATTACATTTAATTACACATAAAGTATGTGTAATTATATACAGTACCTATTTTATAAAATTATTGGGAGAATAATGTGAGATAACAAGTGTCAATTCTTTTGTATTTTCCATATAACGAATGTTCAAAATGGTGGCTGTATCTGGGCATTATGGCACATGCCTGCAATCCCAACAACTTCAGAAGTAGAGGCTGCCAGAAATAAAGCAAGATTGACTGATAATTGATTTAACAGAGTAAGTGTAATGATAACATTGAGTTATTTTAGGCCTAATTCTTATATAACCTGAATACCTTACCCATAAGAACTAAATAGTGGCCACAATAAAAATGTTATTATTGATCATCTGATCCCACCCACTGAAGGTTATAAATTAGGAAATGAAGGTCCATATTAGGGAAGAAACTTGTTATGCTTATACAATACATCATTTATAGTTAGGGGTTATGCAATATATTACACTATTGTGCCTCCAGATTTATTTTTTTATCTGCATCTGGGGAAAGGAAAAGATGCATTAATGAAGAGAAAAACTTGGCAGTGGATTTTGCAGTATGATACTGCATACATGAACCCACAGCCAATAGGGCAATAAGGAAGCTTGTCAGGATCAGAGTTAGGCCTACAACTTCTTGGAGAATTCCCTTAGGAAGAGCCAGGAGCCATTACTAAAATTTCCAGACTACCCTTCCCAGCTGTGGCAGTTGTTCTATAAGAAAGTAAAGTAACTGGTCTATATTCAATTCTACCATGAAAAGTGGCAAACAACCCAAAATGACTAGGAGTAGAAAACTTCTTATGTGGTCTTTCAGCAAGAGTATTTTTCTCAATTCTTTGAGTTGACTATAAAGGGGTAACATGCCCCTTTAATTTAATATCTTGAATGACTTCAAATCTAATGATCAAAACTATCTTTGCCACTCCTTTATTTCCCTCTCTATACACCTATTTCAGCCTCAGCCTCCTAGAAGTGTAGTTCTCAAAGTGGCAATTATGATGACCATATACAGTATAGTAGAAAAAAATTAGAGAAATTTGGGTTCTAATTATGTCTTAGCAACCAACTAGCCAACATAACTTAGGCAAGTCTTTCAACTTCAGTTGTCTTTTCTAGAAATGAGGACAAGAATATTTACCTGGCAGGGTTGTTGGAAAATGGTAAGCTTTCCAGAGCTTCTTTTAGAGGAGCTTAAAGAGACCTTGGCTCAGCCCCTGGAGCTGTAAATGAAAGCTAGCCAAAGAAGTTGATTAAAAGAGTTGGGGTTAGGTTTGACAGAGGAGAGAGAAATGGACTGGTGCCTTTCTTCCATCATCATCTCCATTGCCTTCCAGCTAAAGAAGAAGACCTAGATCATCTGAAGGTATTCCCAGTCTCCCAAATGCCTTTTCTGACTTCATTGACCGCAGAAAGCCAAAAGAGAACTATGAAAGAGCCTTAAGATTCTGAGTATGCTGCATTTTTTTTGTTGGTTGTGGGCTGTGAACTCTGGGCCTGAGTGCTGTCCCTCAGCTCTTCAGCTAAAGGCTAGCCCTCTACCACTTGAGCTACAGCGCCATTTCCGATTTTCTAGTGGTTTATTGGAGATCAGAGTTTCAGGGACTTTCCTGCCCAGGCTGGCTTTGAACCGTGATCCTCAGATCTCAGCCTCCTCAGTAGCTAGGATTACAGACTTGAGCCACGGGCGCCTGGCTCAAGTATGCTGCATTTTGAAGATCATAGAAGACAGTCCATTCTTAGCATTACTGAAAGAATGAGTAGCTAAGCTCAAAGCAGAGTAGTGTCATGTCAATCCTTGCTGTTTTAGTGCTCTGCAATACAGTACATATAAGCAAAGCTAGTTTTTTTGAGAAAGATTGGCCAGACCCATAGAAAGAACCAGGTGATGGATACCTACAATGGGTGTGGCAGGGAGGGGCTCTTGAGGAACGCAGAAAGCTCTTATGTTACTTGATTATACTATGTGTAATATCATTTGTACACATCTGAACTACAAAATTCTTCATTGGAGAGTTCCCCAAAGCTGCTGTGATTGAAACAAATAATAGATCAGCCTTGGTTAAGGGAATTAGAGGGGATAAACCTGGAAAAGGAGATGCGAGTAAGTATCTGGGGATATCCAAACATTGAGACTGAATGAAAGGTTTGAGAAGATAGGAGAAAAATAAGTTCTCAAGACCATGCTTAAAAAAATCTACACTACCTCCAATATGACAAAACTCAACTGGATCAGTCACAAGTTAGCTCCTGCTTCTTGGTGTCTTGGTCCTCCTTGGGTAGAACAGAAAGAACAATGGCCTGGAATCCAGACCCATTGAGTCACAGATTCTTTGCATGACCTTTGGCAAGTACTTTCTTTCCTCTTTCTGAATCTCTGTTTTTCCCACATGTACTTGATCTCCAAGGATCCTTTTAATTCTCAAATTTTACCTGTCAAATAAGAAACTAGAGAAGAAAGAGCATTCTTAGAGAGCCTGCATGGATCACCCCAGGAGAGCTGTCTAAAGATATGAATTCAAATATCACTCCCATCTTTTCTCAACAGAGGGGTGACAAGTATCAAAATAAGAGATAGAAAAACAAAGACTTTAGATGGCATTCAACTAATCCTTCTTTTCTTCTTTTTTGCAAAAGAGATTCAAACACCCAAAGATAATACATCCGGTAAACAACAAACAGGACTGCTAGTCAGATTTGCTGACTCCTGGACCCAGTCCTACTTCCATATGACTATCTCCTAAACATAGGTTTTTGTAGGATAATGTCCACCCTTGACTATTATGGACACTGTCCCAGCTTGGCAATCCAAGAAGAGAGCAAATGGATACTATACCTTTAACTCGAATGCTGCCTTAGCTTTGGAGGGAGCACAGGTTCACTGGTGCTGAGCCAAACTGTAGAGTCCAGAGAGAAAGAGAGCTGGTCTTTATGCTGTGAGCAGGAAGGTCATGTGTTTTGAAGGGCTCTTGGTGTCTTGAAGAGGAAAGAGAAATGAGGAAGATAAAGTTGAGGTTAGCCAACGGAAATCTGCGTGCAAAATGACAAAACAGGGCTGTTGTGAAAGGGACTGCTAAAGCAGCAATAGTCCCCACTGCTGTGCCCCCACCCATTCCCAGCCAACCTCCAAAAGCTCTCCCATGGTGCTGAGAAGAAGAGCAGAATGCTCCTGGCTGTCCCTCCACGCTGTCTGTAGGGCAGGGAGTTTTGCCCATTGTAACTAAGGGAATCCTGGAATGTCAGCTTTTCCTTATCTAATGAAAATCCTGTTGTCAAAATTGATAAATGGAGTCAATGAGGGATGAAAGGAGGTGTCCAATATCATGAAACATGTTTATGGCAAAACTAAAATTGGATTGTATTTCTATTGCAATCATGTGTTCTCTCACTCTAGCCAAATGCTTTCTGGTCCTGGAATGACCCTCTGACTTGTCTCCTGGCACATACAACTGGCATAATTTACAGGTCCCAGGACAAAATGAAAATGATACATCTTTTGTTTAAAAAATTAACAATTTCAAGATGATGAATGTAGGATTTTAAACCAAATGTGGGGTCCATGGAAGTGTGGGGTTTTGTGAAATTGCACCCATCACATGGTTATGGAGCTGACCCTGCTGTCACAGCTATGACCATGAGTCACATTATCGTCTCCAGGAGACTTATAGAAATGAAGACACTCTTGTCTTACTACAGTATTTATTATGTGTTTTGCCTATATAATTTCATTTTTTCCAAGAACCCTTTGATATAATAACACTATTTTAACTTGTAGGTGAGGGGACTGAGGCACAGAAATAAAGTGACTTGTCTAAGTAAAGAAACAGAACTAGGAAATAATAGATAAGCACAATTCCTACTTAGTTTTGGCTCGAAATGTTAGCCTTTTTCTATTCTTCCACACTGGCCACAGGAAAGAAAAGTAGTCGATCTTATAAAATTAAAAAAATAGGGCTGGGAAAGTGGCTCAGTGGTAGAGCGCTTGCCTTGCATGCTTGAGGCCCTGTGTTCGATTCCTCAGCATCACATAAGAAAAAAAAAGCCGGAAGTGGCACTGTGGCTCAAGTGGTAGAGCGCTAGCCTTGAGCTGAAGAGCTGAGGGACAGCGCCCAGGCCAGAGTTCAGGCCCCACGACCAGACCCCCCAAAAAAATTAAAAAATAGTTAATGGACCCCCTAAGGAGAACTGTGACCTTCAGTTTGAATAAGAGACATAGAGCCTCATATATACAGTCCCTAAGAAGTCCCCCAGAAAGATGATGGGTTTCCATCCTATAGAGTCCTCCATCATATATTGTAATAACTTAGAGAATGAAAGGACCAATTCTTATTATACTTTCAGGATATACATGGGAAAGCATTCAATGATTACAATGCCCATGTCACAGTCTAGAGCCCACACCAGTAGAAGCAGGGCCCTAGGGAGTACTCAACCCCTGGTGAACAATCTTATCTAATCTATGTATGATCATATAAAATTAGACTCAACAAAAATGATCACATCCTAGAAGCCAGGATCCCAGGGCCCTAGTTCAAACCCTTTTCGTTCCCAGAGCCTTGATTTCCCATTTTAATCACTACAATTTAGACTAGATGACATTGGCCTCTCTAATTCAAACATTCCCCCAGGTTTTTTTTTAATGAATTTGTCCGTCCATTCTCCTATTTACCACTGTGGGTCTACCTGTAGTTTCATGGCCAAGGTTTTGGGGATAGATAGCCTGAGATAGGGATTCATTTGCCTTCACACTACTCTGAAAAAAAAAAAAAAACAAAAAAAACCCTTCCTTTCTACAATAAGTTATTTACTTAGGCCTTGAGACTAGTTTCTCCAGATCTGGCATCTACAAAGATTCAGTTCCTGTTCCTTTTTCGTTTCTGACTAAAGCTTCAGGGGAAGCAGGATGGTCCTGTGGGCACTTTGCTAAGAAGGGGCCCCCCTCCTCCCTACTTACACCATAGACATTAAGTTCAGCCACCATTCCTTTATTCCTGTCTTATCTATCACTAAAGCTACTCTACCAGCTATTTTTGACTTTTTCTTTCAACACTGAAGATTGAATGTAAGGCTTCACACATGCTAGGCAAGAGCTCAACTACTGAATAATATCTCACCTCCTTTCTACTGGCTTATAAACAAAAATCTTCTGCAGACAATGTCTTCACCTAGAGGAGAAATTAGTAATGTTGATTGTGTGCCCCATAGTAGGCTAGGCCCATGAGTCAGAAAGATCCACAAATGTTTTCTATGAAGAGTGACTGAATTACAGTGAAGAGCACTGGGCTCCTTTGAGTTCCTCTTTACGAACACAAAGTATGCTGGGAAGGACCAAATTTGCAATAATTAACACAAAGTGTCCTGTTTTAAAAAAAAATAGTTTTGAGATAGAGATTTGCTTTATATTCCTGGCTGAAACTTGAGCTCTTCCTGCCTTTGCCTAACGTGCCTTGCTACATGGGTTTCTTCTTTTAAGTTTGTTGTCTAGAAGTCAGAGGCCTCCTATTTTTTGATTCTGTAGGCCACAGCCACTCTTGAGAAGGAAGGAAGATGAGCAAAAATAGAGTGGACAGGTAGTGTACTTAGTACTACTGGAAACCCATACTTAGTACTGGAGTGGAAATAAGACTGACATAGAGTCCTTGTGTCTTAGACCCTAAGTTATAGCTCCTGGGATACAAAACCAGCTATGTAATTCATTTATTATGTGACCTTGAATAATTATGCACCATCTGCCTGAGAGAATCATCACATCAGATTGAAGAATTCTCAGGCTAGGGAGGAAGGAGAGACAAACTTTTACCAAAGGAAAGCTGAATTGATAGAGGTATGGTACCATCAGAACAGATGAGAAAGATAAGACTCTCTTTCAGGATGAGGGAAAAGGTGATGGATATGAGACCATTCTTAGAAGAATAAGAATAAATCATAAAGTACAGGAAAATGATACTTTCTAGAAAAATCTCTGAACATCATCAACAAAATTACTTGCACCCTATTTTGTCCTATATTCTCAAAAAACTTTCCACACTGTGTCTGGGTGTGTGTTTGTTCCTCCCAGGAGGTGAAAGACTGCTCAAAGTAAAGACATTTTTATGATCCCTTATGATCTCAAGACAAGGAACACAATAATTTCCCTAGACTTGTAAATTCATCAAATGAATGACTCCATGCATAAGCAAAGGAAAGAGACTTCAGGGCTGAAAGTGCCCACATTCTTTAGTTTATCTTATCTCCATGAAAGAGCTGAAGATGCCCCCCTTTACTTTGTGTTCATCTCCCTTCTCACTCAGTACCACTTCCTTTCAGAAGCCTTTCAAGAAGCCCAGGGACAGTTACAAAGCTATGACCACTTCCTGTGCAAGAGGCCAGTGTCCACATACTCCACTCAACCCTGGTGATTGCTGTGTATAGGATTGCACCGGGCTTCCTCTGAGAGGAAACCCCAAAGCTGATGCAATGTGCAGGGCACCCTCATACCAGGGCTAAAGCACTCCTTGTACACCTGACTCTGAGGATAGAGGTTTCACTGTGAGGTTCCATAGAAAACCAGTGATAATTGGCATGAAACCTAGGTGGTAGATATTACCCCTTAACTATAGGTCTACTATATTCAACCAAGGTGTGTTGAGTGTCTATTGGTTGTAAAGCTTTATATTTGGCACAAGGGGAAAAATAAATATACCAAAGAGTAGAAATATACAATAATTTAACAGAAATACAACATGAACTACAAATACTTGAATAGGCACATTGTTTTAAAAGTATGTGAAACTAATTTCAATAATGTTTTATTTATTTCAATGGAGTCAAAATGTAATTTCAACCTGTAAATGAGATAAGTGTTGGCTAATATAATTCATAGTACATCTCAGCTTGGACTGGCCAAGTCTCTAGTGTTCAGTTGCCATATGTGGCTATTGGCTGCTACACTGGACAGAGTAAGTATAAAATAAGGCTGTGCCCTCAAGGATTCAGACTGCCACACAAACACATGTAGGGAATGAGTACCACTGTGGAAGTACAGGTATGAAAAAAAAATGCACCAAAAGTCAGAAGACTTGAATTGCAGTCTTTTCTCTGGCACTGATTCTCTGTGTGGCTTTGCACAAATCCTCCCCTCTCTGGGCCCTCCATATTTCCATCTCGAAAGAAAGCCTGAATTTGATTCATTTGCTGAGAAGTATATGTTGAGTATTGCTCTAAATTTTACTCATGTTGTGAAAAACTTACACTACAGAACTGAGCCTGATGGATAAAATATCTGCCTTCCTGAATCTAATATTGTAGAAAACAGCTATTAATACAAATGATTGTGACAAGAAAGAGGCTTCAGAGACAGTTGGAAGAACATAACAAAGAAGTCTACTAAGCAGGCTTGCATAGAGAAGGAAACTCCTCTAGAATAAGTAGCTTTTCAGGCAAGGTTGAAAAATTAAAAAGGAAGCTAAGTGCTAGTGCTTAGCACTGGTAATCCTAGCTACTCTAGAAGCTGAGATCTGAGAATTACAATTTGAAGACAGCCCACAAAGAAAAATCTGAGACTCAGCTCTCAACCAGTAAAAAGGCAAAAGTGAAGGTGTGGTTCAAGTTCTAAAGTGCCAGTTTTAAGCGAAAAGGCTAAGGAACAGCACCCAGGCCCTGAATTCAAGCTCCAGTATTGGCACAGAGAGAGAGAGAGAGAGAGAGAGAAAAAGAGAGAGAGAGAGAGAGAGAGAGGACTGGAGAGAGAGAAAAAGAGAAAGGAAAGAAGAACAAAATAAGGAAAAATATGCCAAGAGAATAGTAGGTAAAAAGCAGTTCTAAGCAAAAGAAAAAAAAGTGTAAAGGTGCTGAGATGGAAAATAATGTGACATACTTCGAGAAAGTAAGGAGGGTAATATGGCCTGAAAGAGGGAACAAAAAAAAAAAACCCAGCAGATTGGAGGTGTTGGAAATATAGCTTAGCAGTAGAGTGCTTG